ACATACATATATACACACATACGAACCTAAATATAAACTAATATCGTCTAAGAACAAAGACAAACATGTTTTGTCACTTATTTTTACATAATACAACGATGAGTATGGCAAAGCCAAGATAAAAAAAAGCTTGTTGAAATGTAGAGTCGATGCCTAAATAACTTCTTAGCATCGGCAAAAGTCTCAAGTGACTTATACGAAACCAAAGTAGGATTTTAGCAGCTTCTGTGCATGTGGATGTTCCATTACATCCATTTTTTGTATTCTTGACCGCGTTCTTAGACGGGATCAAAGTTTTTAACTTATTACATGAGTACGTATTTTTATTTCGTTTACTTTTGCGACATCGCATTGTCTCCAAGCTGTTTATTGTACGCAAATCATCGTCTTAATGCATTTGCTGCTCACACGCATGTTTTACAAAGCAAATGAATTATGTGTGACCTAAATCCGGTAACAGTGGAAATAACACTGATGCAATTATCATTATCCTACTAATTTAAAATGCATTAAAACTACAATCATAGGTACAGGGTCAAAAGTATCAAGATGATGTGCTCTTGACTGTACGCTTTCATTACTTATATTTCTGTCGTTTGTATGTAAAACTACGTACGAAAATGTTCATACAGGCAAAGAACACAGCTACGCAGTTTTATTTTTATACATAGTTTACCTATAAATGTGAATCATTGCCGTCAATCATCACTTGTTATAGGTACTATACTATCTTAAATATTCGTTATGACTTATGACTAATCTATTTAGTAAAGTCACACGAATTTCTAGTTGCAAAAGCAAATCGTCTGTTTAAAGTGTAGTAAAACCACATAAGTGACATTTTAAACTAGTCTTTAATTTATATAGCTATGGTAAGAAAATCACTATATCTCTGCACGTGAAATTCAATAACAAAAAAGCTATAGACTTAAAAAGAGTTTTATCTGCAGAAAGATGGTGATTTTCTTACAACAGGTACATAATTTAGAGATTTTTGTAGAAAATATCACTTATGTGGTTTTACCTTTAAGCATACGAAATAAACTTGGTTATTCAATTCTGGTAAGAAGTGACGATATGTTTAACATGAGTTGATGACTATCAATTGCATGCATGCAATTAATAGTTATCACTGGGCTCAGCAGCATGCATGCGGGATGTTATGTGAGAAGTACTTGTATTAATAACTTAAGCTATGCCGATGACATGGTGCTGCTTAGCTCGTCGGTCAGCGCGTTGGCACAGTTGCTTGAGACTTGTGAGGCGTATGCCGTCACTCGTGGTCTACAATATAACCCGAAGATAAGCGAGGTTATGGTATTCAAGGTGGGTAAAATAAAGCCATACTATATTCCTCCTATTCTGTTGAATAGTACTCCGTTGAAGGTTGTAGACAGGGTCAAATATCTTAGGCATAAGTTGACAAGTTCCTTGTAATTTCACCAGCACCCTTACCCTTCAAAACCGGAACGCAGTAATGCTAACATTACTGCTTGGTGGCAGAAATAGGTAAGGTCCCTACTACCTCTCATACTAAAATCGCTATCCCAAGGTTGCCTGATAGAAATTGCTACATAGCAATAAGGCTGCCTGTTGCGCATTAACGTGCTACTACTATTATACTTAAGCTATTGTATTGTATTTTAACTGTAATTTTATGTAATATAAAGAATATTGCATTCATTCATTCCCGGGACGAACTCTTTCACAAGGAGCTCCACTGCTGCTAAAAATGAAGTAACTATTATGTGATATTATTTTTACTTAGGTTTGTAAGTAGATACTTCATAACAAAATTATAATTTCTCTGCTGCAGTAGCACTGCGGCATAATCGTATTATTATGTCGCCGTCTAGGATTACCTAGAATTACATTAACAAGCAGAACAATCCGTAGAAATGATGTTACAATATTCCATAGGTTGCTACTAATAATTCAAGGCTCAATAATTCCTGTTTATTATAAAGAGCAAACCTCTTTTATAACCCACGCATTATCTATACAAACGTTAAAAACCACTTAGAGCAATCTGTGAAGTGTTTTAAACTTTTCGTAACGGGATTGGTAGTGGCATAATGTTTGTTTATTTGTGACCTGATTACAAAATGTCCCGTCCTTCACATATAGGGCAGTGTTGTAACCAACCATAGAATAATAAAGTTGAAACTTTTTTATGGCTTTTTTCTTGTACGGTTTTACAAACGTTGTGCAATAGGTAATGTAATTCGCAACTGAAATGTTTTTGTTATGTAGATTAACGTGTTTTTTATCGTTAATTGGTACCTGCTCGGAGTTCGGACCGTATCGTACAAGAAATTTTACGTTAAGTAGGTAGATCTCAGCTTAGTTAGGTTAAACAAATGTACCTACGTTTAACCTTGAGAGATTAAGTAAGTATACAACAGCGTACTATAAAATAAAAGTCTCAAAGCGTGCTATGCCGTTTAAAATTGTACCTACATAGTAACTTCGTCATTAATAAAACTAACAGTATGTTTTTAAGTACTATTATCAAAAGAATTAGTTAACCAGAACAGAGGCACCACAAATTGTAGTCAGCACAGGCCTTCAATAGAAGAAAGTTATAAATTATTATGTTTCGAAAGAGTTGTGAATGGTCAGTTACAGCACACACAATAAAAGTGAGTTCGAACATTAAAATTAGCAACGATCCTTTGTTTGCGCTAAGTTAAGATTATTTGCATGCAAATGCGGCGGGAAAGCATTGTCTGGGCTTTCACAACACTGCTCAAAGTTTCTAGGAAATTATCGAGAATATACTTCGCACAATGAATGGTCTTCATGCCACCATTGTATCACCAACATATAGTGAAGAAAGAGGCATGTAACTTCAAGTCAAACTGGTATTAAACACAGAAGATGAAATGCGATATTGAAGAAGACTATTATATAGTAAACAAGCATCTAATCAGTGGTAGAAGTCAGCCCTAAGACATTACGAAGTGATACTGAAAAGAACCACAAATAAGTATGCATCCCCTGATTTGATTAATGGAAGCATAGACCAAGGTAAGGTAAGGCAAGGTAGTTAATTGACAGTACGGAAATAAGAGCGTACGTAGTGTTCTTTTAATGTGTGATGAACATTTGTAAACATTACTTTGTGAATACATATCATATTATGAGAAAGATCTACTGTCGGCGCAGTCTTTCTTACAACGCCATTGAATAAAATGGGAAGAGAGCAATTAACAGTGTGAATTGGAAACAAAGAGAGGAGGGCGCCACTTTCTCTTCAGCCATCATACTACCTGCGGCTTCGACAGAAGTGCCGTTAAAGGGCTTTGTCGCATGCAGGTTTCACGTCTGTTTTTTGGCGACAAAGAAAATACTTTGACGACACCTTACAAAGTCGTGCGTCATATTGCAATTATTAAATTCTTTGTCTAGTCTAGGGATACTTATCAACGACTAAATATTTTTCTAAAGTCGTTAGTTCGTAGACGAAAGTAACAAAACTTGTTTATACATCTATTCAAGCTCAAACCGAGTATCATTAATTTCTTATATTAGGAATCCGTATTAAAAAAGTGCTTTGACCTCAGACGCGAAGGCACGTTGGGAATCCTTTACGTTTTGTTTTCGGCCAATTAATTATTCTTCTACGATCCTTTTTTGTTCGGTTGTGACGTGAATAGTAATGTTATTGTATTTGGTTCGTTAATTATGATAAAAAGATATCCTTAAAAAAATCTCGCTCGTCAAAGATTTTAAGAAGATGTTTTTGATTAGATGGTTTAGTTAACAGCCATCACAAGTAACACTCGGTTAACTATCTGTCTGAAGATTATGCAGCAGATAAAACGCAAAAAGACTGCCAAGGCTACGAATGTGGGTAAGATGTGACTTTAAACTATATAAAACAGCAGGAAAGTGAATAGATAAAAGAATGTCTACTTTAAGTTATATAATTCTTTTAACTAACAATTGGAAAGACATTGTTTGTGTAGTATGATTTTTATGTCAGTGGTGACATAGATAAATTCTAAGATATTTTAGTTAAACACAATGGGTACTTATTTGCATTCTAGATAAATGTTTTAAATAGATACTTACATGCAAGATCTTCGTAATGATTGTTTGCATTTGAGTATTTTTCTATGGAAATTTATCCGTAGGAATGTTAATGCATTTTTTTTAAATACTTATCATCGTTTGCTATAGTGTTATCGTTATCAAGATTGTGACGTAAGCAAAGACTTCTATTCATCCTGCCGTCAATGATAAATATCAGACTTGGAAGTATTCTTTTGCAAATAGTAATAACTCGACTGTACATTTAAATTAAAGCTAGCATCGTTACATAATTGAAAGCGACCAAAATAATGTAGGTATACCTATTTAAGTAATCAAAAGATTTCAAATCTAGACGAAATTATAGATAAACAATCGCAACTTTCTCTCAATTTAAATTACAGTTACAGGTATACAGATCGTTACATAAGTGCCTAACTATTAATAAAATTCTTCGTCTGATTATGAACTGAAATGAGAAAGCGTAGCACAACCCGGCAAGAATGTTTAAATGAAGTCTACGGCTATTGTCAGGTACGTGTTTTAAAACAAGTTTCTGTTTTCGATAAGACTCTAAATTGTTAAAAACGTGTCATTGACTTAACTCCATGTGCTATCTTATAATGAGTTTTTACGTAAGTAAAGCAGGTAAATATGAATCCATTTTTAAACACATTCCTACAAAAATATAATAGGTTATGATTAGGTATTAATGGTGGTGCCAACAAAATTAATTAATAGACACGTCTTGTGAATGCTAACAACTTCATCACCTCTACTAACGATCATTCTAGTACCTAATCGCATAATTATCTGCCAAATCAGGCCGTTCGCGATAGTGATAGCCATTGCTCTAATAACGTCGTCTTCGTATAATCGGTTTGTTTTGTTAGTGTCCTTAATTTCGATTTCTAATTTATTTAAATTATTAAAAAAATTAAAAAATTATCTATTTCAATTCTTACCATTAAATGTGTCATATGCAGTGGGTGTGTACTCTTCCCGGAACGTATCCTGCGCATAAGCAGCAATTAACGAACTCTTACCCACTGCCCCATCCCCCACTAAAACACACTTTATCTTCGCTTTCTTGCCACCTTTCACCTTCCTTCTATCTCTTATTTGAAACATCCGATTTAAAGTCCTTTTTGCTTTTTTGTCCCGCGTCGTCCACTCGTTCACTTTATCACAGCAGTTAGTGTCTTCCGAAACATCATCTCGAGCTACGGTGCGGCTATTCTCCTCCACCACTTCAGAGTAATCGTAGTCTTCCTCATCCCGGCGCTGCAAAGGAAACTGGCTCGGACTGTGGATACCAAATACAAAAGGTCCGTCTCGCTCCGGCAGACGGTTAGAAAACCCGTTCGCTGGTGTAGGGGGCTTCGCGTACTGTACTGTAGGGGCACGGTACTGGCTCGACAGATATTCAGCAGAGGCGTGAGGATCGAACCTGAACACTAACTCTGCTTCTCTTCGATCGAAGTTAAGTTCTGGGGTAGTAACTTTTTCTTGAAAGTAACCGACTTTCTCGCGGGCCCGTGCCTCCTGTAGTCGTCGTTCAAGTTCGACGTTCGATGGCTTCCAGTAGTCTGGTCGGTACGAGTAATCCGTGGGCAAATTCCTGCCCGTCGGTAGCGGGCGAGTTGGGCCCGTGTCACGGGGCGGCGCGCGTGGAGGGACCACGAAAGGCTTTTGCGGCTCAGCAAGCAGCGGCCGGCGCGCCGACAGGTTCGCGTTCCTGTTGAACATGATTCCTTCCAAGCTAGGAGACATTGGCACTGTCACAAATGTTGATTAAGGGAAGGAATATTGCAGTGTACGTCCGCGCACATAATTCGTCTACGTTGTGTCCGTTCGCGAGAAAGTTCCGCTATCGTGTGTTTGTGCGGAAGCGTGCGCGCGCGACGCGCTTCTACAATGGAGTTCAGAGCGCGACTGCGGGCTCGCCTCGCAGGCCGCCGCGGCGCTCCCTTCGGCGGAGAAATGACCTGTTGCTTGTTACCTGTTCAGGTACAAACGACCGTTTCGCGAGCCGCAGCTGTCGCAGCGGACAAAGCGCGTCATGCGACGACGGTCCCGGCGCAGGCCAACCTTGCTACCCGCTAGGAGACTCATTCACCTAAACCATGAATGAACTGACGACGTGCTTTGTTTACTCATACGATGCTATGCTATGCCCTTCTACGTCTAGTTTGGGTTTGTGGTCATGTATGTACCTATCCATATGCTCTGTACCTATTAATAAAAATGTGCTTGGAATTAATTTTTCTCATATTACATAGGCTCCTGCACATTGAAATAAAAAATTAGTACAAGGAATTGAGCAATTAAGTGGACTTGTAAAGTATACAATCCCAACAAGATTAGATACCATCTTATTAATGATACGAATCTCATGTAACATCTGTAAATGACTGATTTTTCTAAAGGAAACTCAGTTTCTTTGGTAGGCACCATAGATGTCTACGAACGTACGTACATACAGTACTATATCTTATTTCTAAAGTGGTCGTTTTCAAATGCGGTTATTTTCAAAGTTATCCCTACGTTCAGATACATCGCTTCAATGATATTTAAACTCATCGCTTTCTTTTACTTTACTTTAGTGTAATCCAAATTAAATTTTTGGCAACACTACTTTCGATATTTCCGTTCAGAAACTAAACATGCCTGTCACAAACCATGATGCCTATATCTATGCATCGTAAAAGTTTCCAAGTATAATATCACTGTTGTAAACGATACTGTTGGTTAATTTTCCGAAAAATTTCTAATATTCCGGAAAATTTCCCTAAAATATGGAAAAATTAGAAAAAATTTTAAAATATAACTTCGAAGGCTCATACTACAATCTACGTTTAGAAATATCTTTTGAAGTTTTATTTAGCGTGAATTATAAAATAAATTAAAGCCACATAGAGAAAAACGAGACTTAAAATTATTTCAAAATAGCGAAAAAAGCTTTCTAGAGGCTCCATCGTTTTCGTTCAGTAACTTCAACTTTTGACAGGTGTCAACTTCAAATGTGGAAAAATAAAGGAAAATATTGGAAAAATATCCGGAAAATATACAAATGGCGGGTTTTAATAGTTACATTTTTTACACGAATTAATTTTTAGTTTATGTATATTACGTTGTGCGTTTCTTGATTATTTGTTACCATTAAGCTGATGGCTCTGAAGCCAATGCTTTGTAAATAAATAATACGGAAAATATTTATTTTTCTCATAAATGTGATTTTTTAAATGGAAATTTTTCCATGACCTAACACTACATGAATATTACTGTCTATACTATTTGGAATCATGTTTAATATGTACATACATCGTTTTTTTTGGACTGCGAAACGGGGAAACTTATTCACGGAAAATAAATTGGAAAGGAAAAATAATTTAGAAGAAAAGGTCTGAGGAAAAGAGTTTAAGGTGAGATAAAAATACATATACTTACTTATTATAAATTTTAGCAAAACCAATCAGTGTGATTATTTGTGAGACAAACCATGATTTCTTTCAAACCCACCAAACGAAAAATGTTTCAAAAAACCTATTTTAGGGATTGATCCATTGACGACGTCATTGGATTGATCGCTTTGAAAGACTCATTGAAATAGCAAGATTGCACGTGTCAATCCAAAATTGACAAAATCAGCTGTCATTTGTCATTGTCAATCTAAACGAATGTGGTTGGCGGCGTGCGTTTTCAAAAAATATTTTCCTAATATAAGTCATTAAATACTTACTTGTCCGTTACAATAAAGTGGTGTTTATTTAAAATACAACCGATAAAAAATGGCCAAGTTTAAATTAAGTAAGTATTTGTATTATAAACTGATTTACACGTTTCGTAATTTTGTGGTGTTATTTTGATACTTACTAATGTTTTTAGATGCTAAATGAAAATAAAACTTAAACTCAAACCTACTTATATAATAATTTGGTTCTTTACCGGGTAAAAGTAGTCTTCATAAAGCAATTAACATCGTTTTTAGGTTATGTCCAATGTGTTTTGTTTGTATGAACTTTTTTTTGCAGTATCTAACCTTCTCACTATTTGTAATGAAACGTGCTGTCGTAGTGAAATCCTCAAAAAAAAAAGGGAAATGTACAAATTTTGAAACACACCATGATAGAAATTTTTAAGATTTTACTATGAATTAATGAAAAATTTCAAATATTCTCAGAGAAGCCATCAAAACGTCAACCAGCACGTCTTCGCTACAAAATCGAAAAGAAAGTACGCGATCACAATCGTAAGCTGAAGAAAGAAAGCAAAAAGAACCCCAAATCTAAAAAACCTAAGCCCGTTCAAATCCCAAATGTATGTCCATTCAAAGAAGACATTCTTAAGGAGGTTGAAGCCATAAAGAAACACAAAGAAGAGGAGAGACAGAAAAAGAAAGAACAGGCTAAATTGGACAAACAAAAGAAAAAGGAGGAAAAAAAAAGTAGTAAAGTTAGCATGACTAGTTTGGTAAGTATAATATGCCAATAAAAGTAAACAAAACCAAATCAACATTGTACTAATGAATTTTATTGTACTAACACTTAGCTTTCGTAAGAGTTTTTCAATTTGTTACTAACACTTTTGTATGGACCACCTAAGTCTGAAATAAATTATTGTCCAAAATGGAACTATATAATATAGAACATGAAACAAGTCTTGTACAATAAGGCCTGTTTTTAACCGAGTTCAAAAAAAGGAAGAGGTTCTAAATTTCACTGTTTTTTTTTTCAATTTCATTATGTTACGCTATAACTCATCTTTTAAGAAGATATGAGCGCCGCGCCGCCGCCGCCGCCGCGTTTTTCCTCGCGCGCCGATCAGTTCGATCAGGCGCTCCGATCGTACGCATGCGCGCGCTTTCGTATTGTGTATGTGAAAATGGCTACGCCAGAAAATGACTCTTCTAAGATAAAACTTTTTTTTTAAATAGTAAGTTCGCATTTGACCTCCATCTCACTTGATGGAAAGTGACGATGGAGCATGCACACCTAAATCGCTCTGCAGCTTCGCCTCGACTAATTCCGAGTCACCTAAAGCTTCTTGGCATGGTTGTCAATTAAATCCAAAGTGGCCAGTTGGTGTGTAGCAGAGCCATCCTAAAGGTGGCAGCTGTACTCCATGCACGACCGGACTTGTACTTGGTATGGCAGAAGCAACTGTCCCGGTGTGAAGTAACACCTCACCCTGGAAAGGATCCCAAGCTTTATTTCTGCCGAAGTGCAAATTGGACAACAGGTCCATTCGAAGTAGCTGGACACAGTCAGCTATTGGTATGGATGTGTCACGAAAAGTCAGAGTCAGCTCAAAGGGATTCCGTTTTATGGAGAAAAGACACACCTGCATTTTGGTAGCGTTAAATTTGACAAGATTGGCATCGCCCCAATCAGAGACTGCCTTCAGTGTCAAATCCAAACAGCTTACCATGGACTCTCGACAAGACTGGATTTCCTCTCCACTGACCCTTGCATTGGTTAAATACCTATCTACAACTGTGTTATCATCACCATACAAATGTACCTGGAATTAACATATCATTGATATGCAGCAGAAAGAAAGTTGCAGACAGTACGGAACCCTGAGGAGTCTATCGCCATATGTTCGGAACACTAGCCTTCTAAGACCACTCGAATCGAATGTTCGCTCAAGAAATCCGAGATCCCATTGCGAAGGTCAGTGGGAAGCACATAAGAGAAAAGCTTACTTAAAAGGCTTGCGTGCCACACCCTGTCAAAGGCTTCAGAAATATCCAAAGATACTGCAAGTGCTTCACCTTGCTTTTCTATGGCCTCGCTCCACATGTGACAGGCATACACAAAAAGATCCCCAGTTGATATCCCTCGTCGGAATCCGTACTAGCGATCACTGAGGAGGTTGTTGTCTTCAAGGTACGACAGGAGACGGTTGTTAAGTACAAGTTCCATAGTCTTGCAGAGTACGGAAGTGACTGAGATAGGTGTCTAGTTGACAGAGTCAGGTCTGCTTTCCTTTTTCGGCACAGGTTGTTGGCGTATGCGAATTGGCGCCATAGTGCAGCCAGCCTGAGGTAAGATGAGATCCAGAAGTGAACTCTTTGCAAAGAGTGAGGCAAAAAGATTTGCCTTCTCTTCTGCGGTATAGGTCAGCGTGCCGTCTGGCCTCAGCATAGGTGGCATAGATGGGCGACAAAAGTTAGTTAGTGACTTTATATTTCAAGATGTTTTGTTTAAAAAATTAATTTGTCAATTTCTGGCGTCGCCATTTTCACTACGCATACACAACACGAAAGCGTGCGCATGCGTACGATCGGAGCGCCAGATCGAACTGATAAAAATTTGATTAGGTACTATAGAAAATACGTTATTTTATTTTTTCCTTTGAAAAAGTATTTGTATAACGGTTTTTGTAAAATCAAACACCGTTACACAAATTCGTTTTAGAGTCGCGGTCGTGCCGCCGAAACGCCGCCGCCGCCAACACATTTTCGTGGGCGCGTCGCCGCCGGTTGGTCTATTATCGGCGCTCATATCTACTTTTAAGTTATTTATGATAAGGCATTTGTGAACCGATTATGTTGGTTTCTAAAGAGGGTACCTCAGAAATGGTCCCATTTAAATTTTACGAAAGTATTCCACCTATAATAGTGGCAAACTAGGGAATGAATGACTTTTGAGGTCGTTTTTTTTAGGACTCTGTACTGCGATTATTCCCAGCTACATTTTTGTACGTTATTATTATAACATGAATTTTTTTTAACTATTATATTATACGAAAGTCAGCTCTATAAGTGTTTAGTTGTTAGTCTACTTTTCCATTAATCAGTCTAATATGTAGGCTGCCACTTCCATCAGATGGAATGTCTCGCTCGACTGGTAGCCAAATTAATTCCACAAATGTGCATATGTTACTTCTATATTGCAGGTAGCAAATGCAGAAGCTCGTGGCAAGGTGCATGAAATATTCAAGAATAATGACACAGCAGCAGATGATGTTGAACTTGGAAAAGGCCGGACACAGGAAAACTCTCTTAAAACTTATTACAGAGAGTTCAAGAAAGTCATTGCTGAAGCTGAGGTTATTTTGGAGGTTGTTGATGCTAGAGATCCTTTAGGTGGGTAATTGTAGAGGATTGTTGTATTTAGGAAATGAAACTATTTTTCCGGATTTAAGTTGGTTGACTGTGACCATGACCATGGGACCTGTAAAAGGCCCGAAATGTTGGTTTGTTTGAAAAAACAAATATATGCGCGATTATATCCGGAAAAATAGTTTCATTTCCTATGTGTAACAATCGTGAAACCTAAGAACTTGTTTGTTGTATTATGTTTTTTACTCTATTAACTAGAGACTCTTTTTTATTTCTTAGTGATGTAAACAGTTTGAAAAGAACTTTCAAATAATAAAAGAAAATAACAATAGTGCTGCTAATGTTAATTAACCAAATGTTTTTCAGTTTTTATTGCTTTTAATAATTCAATGGTATTATGTAATCCAGCAAGTAATTGATTCAACTGAAGTATCAATCTAATGGTCAGTGCCAATTTAAGTTGTTGTTGTGTTGTCTTCTTATAATAAATGTATATTTATTCATTTGAAATAATTGTTGGTAAACAAAAAAATTCTTCTTCCTCCGTCAGTCCTTCACTGCTGAGGATTGTGACCTTGAGCAAATACCCCGTCAATATGTATAATAAATTTTCCCCACTCCACCCCGTCTTCGGCTTGATGAAGTGCGACATCATGGGTACCGCCAGACCTTCTACCTAGTTACACCATTGAGTTGTTTGTGTTCTATTTTGCCGTATCAATTAGTGAGCTCGTCAGGGTGCGATGTCACCATAGAACTACACAATGCGAAGCAAATAGACGGAGGACATACATTTGGGATTATGCTGCCGCAATTGCAAATTGATTATGTATTTTCTAGGCACACGCTGCACGCAAGTAGAAGAAGCAGTGCGAGAGTCAGGAAAACGTCTGGTGCTAGTATTGAACAAAGCCGATCTAGTCCCTCGACGTAACCTCGAGACGTGGCTCCAATACCTGCGTCGCAGCGCACCGGCCGTGCCTTTCAAGGCTTCCACCCAGGATCAACAGCACAATTTGGGACGAAGAAAGATGAAACATATAGTAAAAGAGAAGGAAATGAAAGGTATGTTCCCTATCAATAATAGACTTCTTAATAAATATGCAGTTCTAAGACTAGAATTGGTTTGTATTGTATTTATTTATTTATTCATGGTACGGCTTCAACCATTTAATAATAACAGGGAAAGAAAGTCAATTACAGGTGCCTATAGCTTCAGACAAATCAAACACAAGCATTAAACAAATGAATAATAAACAGTATTTGTTAACAACATGCACTTACATAATTATAATAACCCAATACCTGTGCCAATAGTCACAAATTATTTTTATTTTTATTTAAACACTTTATTGTACCACAAGGTAACTTACAAATTTTCAGAAACAATTTAAATATTTCTGTACAAAGGCGAGCTTATCCCATAAAGAGATTTCTTCCAACTAACCTTTGAAAATCTGAGAGGAAAGTCGGTTTTTGGGGTGGCACTATAAATAGATAAGTAAAGAAATGGAATATAGTATACTCAATAAATACACAGATAATTTTAATAAATCAAATGTACATACGAATACATATATATTAAGTAATGTTGATACATTAATACATACAAAGTCTATAATAAAATGAATGCACAAAATAAAACTATAAATAAATATGTCAATTGTAAATAAATATTTCAACAGCTCTGACATGTGGAGTTTGAACAATCCCGCAAGTTCAAAAGAGCACCCTTGAAATGATTAAATAAAATTAAATAGAATGTCCATGAGTTTACGCTTTAGCACATCAACGTTACAATTAAATATATCAACAAACAGGTCATGATTGCTCAGCACACTATCTAAGCTCTTGCTAGTATGTTTGGTTGTGATGTGACTATAGGAATGGTTTGTGAACCATGAATTTTGTCAGTTCTGCCAAGCTTGAAAAATAGCGAGGATGCTGTACGTGCACCCGGGGTGGCTCACCTAAGACACTAGCCTTAAAGAGAACCGGATGAAATACGTGCAAATGTGCTAAGAAGGTTTAGGACACGACTTAGATCGCTCGCACAGGTCACGCCCTTCCCGCATAGTGTTGTTAAGAAACCGTTTTTTTTCTGAGATGAAACAAAAACTGTCGTTGCTGCTTTCGCAGCCAAACTGCTTCTACACAAAAAGAATTGTGAGTTTCATAATTTTCCGAATTTATCAGTATCCTGCAGTAACGACGACTTGTTTGCCTACTGCCAACATTTGGAAAACCTCCACATTGACTTCATCAAACGATACCAAGACATTTTGAACTTGGAAATACCAGACTGGGTGTTGGATCCGTTTTCAAATGTCAACACAGCAATATCGCCTCAGCTGGAAGAAGAACTTATAGAATTGACAACGAACGAGGAAATAAAAATCAATTTCAAAAATGGCTACCAAGAATTTTGGCTACAAAAACCGATCCTGCAATTGTACCCTGAATTGTGGTCCATCGTTCAACGATTCTTGATAACATTCCCATCGTCATATTTGTGTGAACGTGGCTTTAGTGCTATGACAACGCTCCTTACTAAAAAGAGAAATTGTTTGCATGTTACCGAACGCGGTGACTTGCGGCTGTTCTTGAGTAAATTTGAACCTGATATCAACAAACTTGTTAAACAGCATCAGATTCATCCTTCACATTAGTTTTTATATTAGAATCGATTGTGTTTGTTTTATTTATTATTTCTTTCGGGTTGTAGTAAAAGTCTTTTACTCACCGGCTCACCCACCCCCTCAAACCCACTCACCCACCGGTATGAGTGCCATATTCGAAATGAGCACCCCGAAATACCTCGAAAATGATACCCATATTGCATTTACTCGAAGAGTCCTGTCCGCCATCTTGGACTAAGAAATAAATACTATATTTGTAATGAGCACCCCCCAATACCTCGAAAACGATACCCAACTTGCCATTATCTGAAAAATCGTGCCCGCCATCTTGGATTTAGAAATGAGTGCCATATTCGTGATGAGCACCCCAAATACCTTGAAAATGATACCCATATTACATTACTTGACAAGTCGTGTCATTGTCAGTTTTAATTGTTAATTGTTAATCAAAAACATTGTAAAGAATGAAAATTGATTAATTATTCATTGCAGATATACGCGGTTCTCGCAACTAACAATTGATCAATCGTTAAATGCTGTTTCGCAATTGACAATTAATTAATTGTCAATCTTTAATTGCCAGAACAATTAAATTTTACCCAACACTGTTTTTAAGTAGGTGAAAAAATGGGGGCGCTAAAAAACTTAATTTATTCTCAAAGTGGGCAGTAGACAAGATAAGTTTGGGAACCCCTATAACACATAGTGTTTATTTTGTTAAATTCCAGGTTCAGCATGTGTAGGTGCAGAGCTGCTGATGGGCTTGCTGGGCAACTACTGCCGTAACAAGGGCATCAAAACATCTATCACGGTTGGCGTCGTGGGCCTACCCAATGTAGGCAAAAGCTCCATCATAAACAGCCTTAATCGGTCTAAAGCTTGCAATGTTGGTAGTACACCTGGTGTCACTAAGTAAGTGTTTTTAATATACCTTATTTAAGCTTTAAAATACACAGACTATTATTTTTAATGGTTACCTATCAGTAGTCTGAAATGACATTTTCCAGAAATAACGTTTGCTCGAATTTTCATAACCTCGAAAGTAATTTTGAGAGGAAAATGTTTTTTCTTTTAAACCTAACTTAACCTAACCTAACCGAACCTAATCGTTTCTTGGCGATATACATCCAACATAATCCTGAAAGAACAACGGTTTCGTTATAATTCGGTTTTCGGTGTAATGAAAATTCGTACAAATGTTATTTCGGAAAAAAAAATTCGAGTTTGTAATAGGTTACCCTTTTTAATACCTCTTTCAAAAGTCTTATTGTTCTAATTGATTTGTTTTCGTCTATGTTGGTTATGTTTATATTATTATTGTTAAATGCATGAGAATTTTTTAATTGTTGCAATAATAATAATTAAATATATCAAATTTTAATTATTATTTGCGCAATAATTTTATGATTTCAATAAAGATTTGATAAGAAAATAGAATTTTAATTGTTTGTATATCTTGCATTGCAGGCGACAGTAAAAAAGCGTTAATTTGAACACTATAAAGAGTGGCGTAATTCAGCTCAATCACATTTTATGTCAACTTTATTCTATATGCTATAAAAGCTAGTTTAACCATGTCGTTTTGTTAGGTCCTTAAAAACGTTAAAGTAAGAGAAAGTATTAACAAAGAAGCACAAATTTTTGTCGGGTTCTTAGGTTTTAGCGTTTGTTACAAATTGACGTTGGTGTTTGTTTGAAGAAACAAATCGTCGGTGTTTTGTAGAAAGAGCGACAAACTTAATTAAAACCAAAATTGAGTCTTAAAAGTCTCGGTGGAAATGTCACGCGTGTGTACGTCAACCCCGACACGTGCATACGCCACTGTAGCTGCTGCAACTAGCCGACCCGCGACTTCGAAATTCGAGCGGCGGCAATCGGCTAAGGATAAAACCAATCTCCGTGCGCCTGTCTCTGAAGTTGCAAAACCACAGAGGCAGACGGTCCAGTGCGACGAGGATGGCTTCACAAAGGTGGCGAAGAGGAAGAGGAAACCCACCAGCCGTAACCAGTGTGGCACAGCACCGACAGGACCGAACTTCCCGCTACGTCCGGCCGTACCGACGACGTTGATGTACCTGTTGCGGCTGCATTACTCCACGAAGTCTGAGGAGATAGTGGAGTATATCAGGCATAAAGCCAATTACACCCTGAGGGTCGCGCGGTTGGAGTCTCGCCGCAACGTGAACTTTAATTCGTTTGTGGTGAGAATACCGACCGAACATCTTTCGACCTTCATGAACGAGGAATTTTGGCCGAAGGGTTTCATATATCGGCGATTCCCCGGCCGGTTACCTGATACCAGATTGCGCCGCACGTCGCCGATAAGTGAAATCGTGTAGATTTGTTTTTTATTATTATATTGTATGTATGTTAGTTTTAAGGTATATATAATATAGGCGTATTTTGTTTTTATATTGTTATGTATGTTAGTCTATAAGGTATGTATACATGGGTCTTTTTGTTACCTGATGTAAATGAATAAATAAAATAAAAACAGAACATAAATATTTTAAAACAGTCGTTAAAACCTAAAACATCCTCCCTCAAATTTTTTCTCAAAATGGCGTTTGCGCCCTTTCTACGAAACACCGATAAAATAATACGCGATTTAAAAAATGAATGATAAATGTACAATCCTGAACGGTAAAATACTAATTAGAAAATGTTTCTAGACAAATGCAAACAGTGCAACTAGACTCGAAAATCAAGATCCTCGATAGTCCGGGCATCGTGTTCCACTCGGGCGCCGACTCCGACGCGTCTGTGGCCTTGAAGAACGCTATCCGGGTGGGCGCTCTCAAGGACCCCACCACGCCTGCCACCGCCATCTTGCAGAGGGCCAATAAACAAACGCTTATCGACCTTTATCAGATACCTGAGTTCACTACGCCCCAAGTGAGTATGAGTTTATTCGTGCCAGTGGTGCAGGGGCCATATAATATGACTCCCATAGGTTACTGGCTTGGTATTCATGTAGAAATTAGTTTTCTTAGCAATTCGCTTAAATTTTTTTAAATTTTGTATTTTTTAGAATTTTGTATTTTTGAGACCTTTTTCATTATCATTTTAGAATTTTTTTTAGAACTTTGTGTTTTTTTTCGAATAAATTACATAAGCAAAAACTAATTTGTACATAATTCGATATTTCAGGAGTTCTTTGCACATTTAGCGTCACGCATGGGCCGGTTCAAGAAAGGTGGAATACCCGATCAAGAGGCGGCAGCTAGGATACTTCTCAACGACTGGAATATTGGCAAAGTAAGTTTTCTTTTAACTACTTGTTACTTTTAACTGTTTTTACATTTAATTCACAATCCATCCGTACAAGGGTGAATGATCACCGCCACTATCTATGGTTTTTTGTCTTTATACAAAATATAAATGTAGACTATGATATTCTTCGCAGGTTACTAGTCCACAAAGGTTAGATTAGAACAGCCTATAGTCATATGTCCACTGAAAGCAGAAATACGAAATATATGTCGTAGAATAAGGGCTAAGGGCACGTTCCCATTATGTCGTGACGACAGATAATCGTGCAGTTCAAAGTGTCGTGCCTTGTATATTTAAATAAAGTTGTTCACACATAGAACAACACGATTAATTGTCGTTCACGAAGTTTTTGACATTATCGATAGACTATCGTGACAATGGGAAGAGCTAGAACGACAGTCGTCTGACGATAAATAAAACGTCACGATAAAAATGTGACGACAGATAATCGTACCTACAAACGTTTCTGTCATGCAAACGACAAGGCGGCTGCCGTGAACCGATAAATTGACGTCACGCTCTAGTGGGAACAGCTAGACACAACAGTTGTTGAACGATAAAATAAACGTCCACGACACAGTCACAACAGATAGTCGTGATATGGGAACAGGCTAGACGCGACTGTCGTCCAGCGATAAATAAAACGTTACATCATAATGGGAACGCGCCCTTAAAGGCTTGTAAACCATTACTTATTATTACTAATTTAATCCTAAAATCTTTATGGTCACTACAAGTAAAGAAAATTTAAGCTACTTTGTAAGAAGCGGTCATGTTATATCATGCTTTTAATCTTCACTATTATTATCTCCTTCATGAAAAACCAATATAAAAAAGGGGTAAGATAAAATAGCTATATTTTTATCCAAGGTGCGATACTTCACGGAGCCTCCAGAATCGCTCGATTCCGATATCCACATGGAAGCAAAAATTGTTTCGGCGATAACGAAAGAGTTCGACATCAACTCCTTTGAAGCTATGGAGACTGAGGCCATAAACGCTCTTGCTTCAAACGACACCGATAATGATGCCATTAAGGTAAGTTGTGAATCATCACAGAAACTTCATATATCGCACTGCTACTAAAAGTGTTGTAAGTGTTGTAACTCAAAATATGTGAAATTTAATATTATGTCATTATTCAACGTAAAATAAAATAAAAAAATAAAATGAGACTCACTTTATGTGAGCTAGTTCTGGCAAATAATCCATATTCAAAAACATGAAATTATTTTTCCTTATTTTATTTTTAAATCGATTTGGGAAATGTTTTGTGTCTATGATAAACTATAACATATACATAAATTTTACTGATATTTTGCGGGAAGTGAGTAATTCGTTTTCACCGATTCTAAGAAAGTCCACTTTTTGAGTTAATACTCTATTATATTAACAGTGCGATATGTATTCATAGAACACTGCAGATATGCTTTTTTCCGACTTCTTTTAGTGGCTCTCCACTACTGGAGGTTGGTCGTCAATATGGCAAATTTGTTCCTGTCCATGGCCAAACGAAACAAGTTGCTTATGAAACGTGTTCTCTTTGCTGATGATTTAAAAATTTGTAAATCAATGGAATCCTGTACGGCCGTGCAATTGATACAAAAAGTTTTGGACGACATCGAAATGCAGTGTAGTGAAATGGAACTCAATTTGAAAATATTCTCCTCATATATTCGTTAATCAGGAAATGACATACGTATTCATCGACGTACAGCGTCAATGATGACCCTGTGATAGAATAAAAATATATAAAGTACGGAATTTGGGTAATGATACACTCACCTTGACAATAAACATCGTACATCGTGTTACTATAGTCCATTTGTTTAGGTACTTAACTAAATGTAAACAATCTTGATACATCTTTTTATTGAAACACATGCTTTACAAATCAATAGGTATAAAAATAGGCATGCAATTTCATATGAAGCTAAGTATTTGTATTTTGTATTTGAAGGTAAGGGAAAATCATTTTATAAATGTATATTTCATTAAATAGACATCTCAAGATTGTTTACATTTATTTAAGACATAAACAGATGGACTATAGGAAGGCAGACCAAATCGTTCCTTGTGCAAGAGTTCGTTCAGGGAAGTACTGCCACCTTTCCGATTTCTGCCGCCAAGCAAAAATTTTTATAAAAAATGTACAATATACCTTTAATACGTTGTATGCCTATTCTTTGGCGAGACAGTCAAACTATAATTATTTTGTTACAATCTGTACAATATGTGTTTTCACAAATAAATGATCTATGAATTATAAATATTTGCCATAGCGCTTATGTGCCATGTGAAACCGAACACTTAACTGTGTTCTGATTCCGATTTACTGTGGAAATCCATTACTCGGTTGTTTCATCCATAAAACCAATGTCATTTAATATGTACTTCGCAACTCACAACAATCTCAAAGCTGCTACACCTCACCTCAACATGTTTTATAATCACTAAATGCAAGACTAATTTTATGAAATTTAAATTTGGAACATCATTAGTTTCTTTTCTAATTTTTTATGGTAGGCGAAGGTTGCGTCATACATCCCCTTAATATATTAGTATTATTTTTTTAGTAGCAGTAGAGCTCCTTGTAAAAGAGTTCGTCCAGGGTACTGCTACCTTACCTATTGCTGCCGCCAAGGAGTAATGTGAGCTTTACTGCGTTCCGGTTTCGAAGGGTAGGGGTGTTGGTGAAATTTCAGGCACTTGGACTTGTCAACTTTTGTCTCAGGGCGTAGGGCGCAGTGGCAGTGCCTCTCAGATCTTTGTTTGCCCCGTCATTTAGTATTAAAAAAAAAAATTTTAAGGAACCTCGTATGACGGATTTTGTATTCGCTCTGGACCTTTTGGAGGGAAAAGTGTCGTTTTTATTTTGACTTTCAATTATTTTGTGAATTCTAGTTTAAAGTGGGATAGGATAGTGCTATTGTGCCTTAATCGAAGATTAAAACGCGAAATTATACGAATCTCGAACTAAAATACCCGTATCGGCCCGTTTTAAGGAATCCCGAGTCAATCCAAGCACGCCGCCTCATATTGCCTATCCTCTTTGTGGCGGCCATGTTCACAGAAACATAATTAAACTTCATGTTTAGGCTGATGGCTTTGCCAAAGCCTTAATAAATAAAAAAATAAAAAATGACGGATTTTGTTTTTTCTTTTTAATTAAATTTAATTGTGTAGTACATTATTCTCAGGTAGCTCATAAATGTACTTAGTCTCTAGTAGTTTGTCACTGAATGTTGTGTTCACCTATGATTGGCTAGTGTGTCACGCATTCACGATTCGTTTTTAAGTTCCGTAAATATTGTAATACGCATGTTGTTAATGTTCTTATCAAACTACAGTTTGACCTTCAGTTCTGAATCATTGGTGCTGTTACCCTAGTATTTTCTAATTGGTTGATTGAAATTAGTTAATGCCACAATGTGGCATTTTGCCTGGTAGAAACGCAAGCGTACCTGCGTTTTATAAGAACGTGTCCTAGCCTTGTAAACCCCGCACGTCGATAGGTCTGATCAGTTATGTAGGTATGTACTTAATAACTTTTTCTATGGTGCCGAGTGGCGGGACGAACAAGTCGTGCGCCTGGTGGTAACCGACACGCTTGCCCATAACAGTTGCAGTACCATTCAGAGCGTTAAATCACAAAGATCTTAAGGCCACTGCCACTGTGCCCGTCACCCTGAGACACAAGTTGACAAGTTCCGCGTGCCTGTAATTTCACAAGCACGCTTACCCGTCAATATCGGAACACATTAATGCTGACATTGCTTCTTGGTGCCTGCAATAGGTATGATGGCAGTACTTCCCTGGACGAACTCTTTCACAAGGAGCTCTACTGCTGCTTAAAAATAATACTAATATATGATGAGGATGTATGATGCCACCTTCACCTACCCAAAATAATCTCAGTACAGAATACTAAAAACATCGACCTCAAAAGTGCGTGGAATTACATATAATTACCCAGTTTTATTGAAATCGGTTACCGGAAAGGGCGCAAACCCGGATTCATCCCCTATACGGGACTTGGCATAGGAGATAATAAAAATCTGTTTTCACTACCCAAAGTATGTTGAGAGAGAAACGCCTTGAATTAAAGAATAACAAAATCAACCATTAAAATAATTGCTCATTATACTAAAATTTAGGCGCTATTTATAAAAATGAATCTTAATGCGTGAACAGCCAGCCTTATAGGTGAATGATTTTCTTCAAAATTAAATGGGACCCTTATGGAGGTACCCTCTTTCCAACAAAAAAAGAATCATGAAAATTGATTCACAAATACCGGAGTTAGGTTCCAAATTTAAATTTCATAAAATTGGCCTTGTACTGGACCTTGTATATTCATTACAATCTATATATTATAAAATATGTTTTCATATATGTTTTGTTACGCCAATGTAAGAATTCTCTCACAAACTCTGGAGTCCAGTTTGTACATCGTACTAACATTCTGCTTCCTCAGGACGACGATTATATTAATTTCAGCGGCATTTCCCCAGCGCGGAAGTTGACTATGTCATTTTAAATTAATTCTAATTTACAGTCAGAAGAACATCACACTTGACACTTTGGAATTTTGAACCATTGTTATAGTAAGCACCATAGCGTTGAATTTAAATCTTAAGTGTCGTGTTCTTGACCCTGTACTATTTCGTATTTTAATCTTCTCGCTCATTAATCAATTTAAAGTTTATCTTAACTATTTAAGCATAACAAGTAACACAAGTTACACGTAAGAAAAAAAAAATATATTTCTTTTTTCAAACAATAACCAACGTTTCGGACCTTTTACACGTTCCAAGGGCTATGGGGCCTGTAAAACTCAAAGTAACGTTGGTCTATAGCCAAAAATTGTTTCATTACCTACAAATTATAAGGATAATTATTCGATTAAGTTTTTGCATTGACTTTCTATACTTTAATTATCGGATGTTTTATTTGAAAGCTTGTGTGTGTCGGTATAGTAACAATTATTGAATAATTTACAGTTTAACTTTGTAGGTTTAGATATAAGGTTCTAATTTGAAGTTGCGTTTTGCGCGATTTAAAGTTGCTGAATTATTTTTTTATATTCACATGCTTCGGTAATACTCGAATGTCTCTGGAAGTTGATTTTAGTAAATGGTATTGTAATTATTTTTGATGTTAAACTGCACACGGCAGAGTACGCAATGCCTGAGCGACACCGCGTACAAGGCGAGAGTCGTCTACCGAAAACACGGTAACATTATATTTTTATTACTATAGTACTTCCATTCTTTGCGCTGTTATGACAATGATTTGTCATGTATAAGGGACTCTTTAGTAGCAGTAGAGCTCCTTGTGGAAGAAGTTCATCCAGGGAAGTACTGCTACCGTACCTATTTCTGACGCCAAACAGTAATGTTGGCATTACTGTGTTCCGGTTTTGAAGGGTAAGGGTGCCGGTGAAATTACAGGCACACGGGACTTGTCAACTTATGTCTCTGGGTGACGGGCGCAGTGATAGTGCCCTTCACTTTGCGATTTAAAGCCTTAAGTGACACTGCAACTGTTATGGACGGGCGTGTAGCTTACCATCAGGCGCACGACTTGTTTGTCCCGTCTTCTTCTTGGCGTGTCGACTCAAACGTTTATAATAGGGGTTAAAGTATGAAATTGCCGATTTGTACTGAAAATCTA